GCAAGAAATATTACTGGAGATTGATGAGGTGTATCGAATTCACACGAGCTACGCTAGGCATAACAGACTGCTACAAGAAGTCCATATAAAATTTGCGAGAAAGTCAGAGATATAATTTATCACGAGAGATGACGCAATGATTTATAAGGATAAAGAAATACAAACACTAAAACAAGTCCCGAAGAAAGTAAGAGAGCAGAGAAGAGATTATAGGTTTCTCACAGCACAGCTAATTAAAAGAAATATACTATTTAGATGGTTAATCCCAGAAGGGATGTTGGTATCATGGCAGGAGAGAAAGATCAAGATAGATAATTTAGATAAGGCACGAGAAATCTATGATCAGTTGGAAGGGGCGGAAGAAGAGAGTAGTAATAAAGAGGAATTAGAATCTAGAAGTCAGGAAGACCAACAACAGGAGTCAAAAGAAATAGAACGAGAGATAGAAAGTAAGGAAGAAAAAGGACAAAGGAGAGAAGAAGGAACAGGTTTCAGATCACGATGAATATACAAGTAGAACAATGGAAGAAGAAATTAGGTTAGTATCAATCAATGTTAACTGATTAAATGCCCCTGCCAAAAGAAAACAAATATTAACAAAATTAGTAAAACAAGGTATAGATATAGCGTGCCTACAAGAGGTACATATAAAAGAGCAACATAGGAAATGTTTTGAACTCCCGAAATTAGGAACACTATATACAGCATTAGCAGAACAAAAACAGAGGGGAATAGCGGTATATATTAGGAAGGGAATAAAGGCTAAATTAAAATATCAAGATATAGATGGAAGGGTGTTAATGATAGAACTACAAATTGAGCAGAAGTTATGGTTGTTGGTGACAATTTACGCTCCAAATGAGAATCAAAAAGAATTTTACAGCAAACTACATGAAAAACTTATAGAAATAGGATAGGGAAATATTTGTGTAGTAGGAGATTATAATACGGTGATGAATGAAAAAAAGGATTATGTTATCAGTATGAAAAATAAAAAGAAATGAAAAATACTACCAGGGACATTTTTTGAGATGGTACATGAACTTAACTTATTTGATCAGTGGAGAAAATTGAATTTAAAAAAAAGGAATATACCTTTTTCTCGAACCCACACAAATCTTGGTCCCGATTAGATATGGCATGGATGAATGGAGAGGTAGGAAAAGATATAGAAGCAATAGAAATAATGCCAAGTATGTGGGCTGACCATAATCCCTTGAAAATAACTTGGAAAGGACCAAAAAAGGTTAGGAGAAGATGGACACTGAATTCTCAAATTTTAAAGGAAAAAGAATTTATTTCAAGGATTAGAAAAGAAATGGAACTATTTTTTAAAGAAAATACAAAGCAACAAATATCATTACAAATTATATGGGATACGGCTAAAGCATATCTAAGAGGTATAGCGATAGCTTATATAGCAAAAAAGAATAAGGAGAAAAGGCAAACGCAAAATATACTTCAGGAGGAGATTAAAAAATTAGAATCTAAATTACAAAGGGAGCCCCAGAATGAAAAAATTAAAGGGGAAATGGCTTTGGCTAAACATAAACTAAACACGGTGGAGCAAGAGGAAATGACAAGGAAACTGAAAGCGGCAAAACAAAAAAACTTTGAACATGCAAACAAGCCTGGGAGATGGCTTGCCTATAAATTAAAAAAAGATAGGGAAAAAAGATTGATTCAGGAATTACAAGATGAGAATGGAGAGTTACAGTATAAAATTGATAAAAAGAAAAAAATAATACATAACTACTTTGAAGTATTATATAAAAAAGAAGAAATAGATGAGGAGAATATAAAACAATATTTAAAGGTTAATGGTTTGCGGGATTAAAAGAAGAGCAGAGGGAAATATTAAATAAAGAAATAACAGCCACGGAATTAAGAAGAGCAGTGCAAAAACAAAAAAGTAACAAAACTCTGGGGCCGGATAGACTTCCAGGGGAGGTATATAAGAGCTTGTATGAGGATTTTGAAATGATATTACTAGAAGTGTATAATGATCTATTGGAGAAAGCTAAATTACCAGACTCCTGGACAGAAGCTTATATATCCCTTATTCCAAAAGAAGGTACAGACCCCAAACAGATAAAAAATTACAGGCCAATCTTGTTGCTGAATACAGATTACAAAATTTTTACTACTATAATTGCAGAAAGATTGAAATTAATATTAAATGAAATAATACATTCGGACCAAAATGGTTTCCTACCTACAAGGCAAATCAGGAACAATATGAGAACGGTGTTTAAATGTCTTAGAGTACTATGAAGCACATCCTGAAAAACAGGTGGCATTAATATTTTTGGACGCCCAGAAAGCATTCAATAATCTTAATTGCCAGTTTTTGTTCCAACAGATTAAAGATATGAGATTTGGAGGGAAATTTGAGAAAACGATAAAGGCGATATATACGACACAAAAGGTTAGAGTGATAATCAATGGGGATAATTCAGAGAAATTTGAAATAAATAAAGGAGTAAGACAGGGATGTCCAATGTCACCTCTTCTTTTTATCTTGACGTTAGAAGTGCTGATAACCCAAATTAGACTTAATGGAGAGATAAAAGGACTAAAGGTAAAGAAAGAAGAATACAAGACGCAGGCATTTGCGGATGATCTAGTGTTCTTCATAGAGCCGCTAGAGACAGGAAACACCTTAATGAATGAAATAGAAAAATATGGGACAGTGGCAGGACTGAAAATTAATAGAGAAAAGACTAAAATGTTAGTAAAAAATTAACTAAAAAACAAAAGAATTAGAAAAAGATTTGGGATTGCAAATTGAAAAAAAGATTAAATATTTAGGAATTTGGCTTACTGTAAGGTGTTCCTCAATAAAAGATGATCATTACAAAAAATTGATACAACAAATGAAAAAAGATTTAGAGATTTGGGGAAAGTTACAGTTATCATTATTAGGAAGGATTTCAGTGATTAAAATGAACATATTGCCAAAATTATTATATTTATTCCAGACAGTCCCTATAAAATTAAAGAAGAGATTTTTTGAAGAACTAAATAAAATAATTAAAAAATTTATCTGGCTGGGTAAGAAAGCATGGATAAATATTAAAACGCTACAAGATAGTAGAAGCAGAGGTGTCTTTGGACTTCCAAAATGGGAAATTTATTATCAAGCAGCGGGGCTATTATGGATTAGGGACTGGATAAATTTAGACAACAAAAGGGTGTTAACGATTGAAGGACATGATTTACAGGCCGGTTGGCATGCCTTTCTATGGGATAAACGTAACAAGACATATGCATACTTTTACCTACATCAAATAAGAGAAGCGTTGATATGGACATGGGAAAAGGTCAAAAGGAAACATTATATGAAATTACCAAATTGGATCTCGCCAATGGAGGCAACGATTTACCCGAATACATTGGATAAAAAAAAGATGATAAGATACAAAGAAGTATTAGATAGTCGGGGGAATCTTAAATCAAAGGAAGAACTAAAAGAACAGGGAATAATTATAGACTGGTGGCCATATTTACAGACACAGTCGAGATATAGAAAAGATATGGAAGACTATGGAATTCACAACAACAACTGGATAGAATATTGACAGGCAAGGAAGAATATTTTTTAACAAAAGCATATAAATATTTATTAGAGGTAGAAATGGAAGAAGAAATAGTGAAAGACTCGATGATAGCATGGGCACAGAATGTAGGCCGAAATATAAATTTAGAAGAATGGGAAAAAGTATGGAACAAAAAGTGCAGGTTAACATTATCAACGGCATATAAAGAAAATCAGTACAAAATGCTTTATAGGTGGCATCTAACACCGGCGAGATTGGCCAAGATGTATACAAATATGAAACCGGATTGTTGGAAGTGTAAATATAAGGATGGAACATTCTATCACATGTGGTGGCAATGTCCTAAAGCAAGGAAATACTGGGAACAGATAAGGAGATGGCTACAGGAGATAACAGGAGAACAAATTGAATTTAAAGCTGAATTATTTTTATTAGGAATAATTCATCAAAAGATAAAGAAGCAACTCCAATATATTATTGTACACATAGTAACAGCAGCACGTATTGTCTATGCGCAATGCTGGAAACTTGAAAATATACCAGCTAATGATATGATTATCCATAAGATATTAGAATGTGCTGAGATGTATAAGCTTACGCTAGAAATGAAAGGCAAGGAAGAAACAGAATTTTATGAGATATGGGATAAGTGGTATAATTGGTTAGAACAGAGAAATAAAAATGTATAGCAATAAATGTAAATAACTGTAAGAGATATATGACACAATACTGTTAAAAAAAGAAAAATGTTTATCGTTTTGTAAATTGGAAAAATGAAAATTAAAAAAAAAGTATGTATAGTCAAGGCCATGGTTTTCCCAGTTGCAATGTATGGCTGTGAAAGTTGGACCATAAGAAAGGCTGAGCGCAAAAGACTTGAGGCCTTTGAACTATGATGCTGGAGAAGACTCCTGCAAGTCCCCTGGACTGCAAGGTGATCAAACCGGTCAGTCCTAGAGGAGATCAACCCTGACTGCTCTTTAGAAGGCCAGATCCTGAAGTTGAAACTCAAGTACTTTGGCCACCTAATGAGAAGGAAGGACTCACTGGAGAAGAGCCTAATGCTGGGAAAGATTGAAGGCAATAGAAGAATGGGACGACAGAGAATGAGGTGGCTGGATGGAGTCACTGAAGCAGTAGGCGTGAGCTTAAATGGACTCCAGAAGATGGTAGAGGACAGGAAGGCCTGGAGGAACGCTGTCCATGGGGTCACGATGGGTCGGACACGACTTCGCAACTAACAACAACAACAATACTTATTAGCATTAGGATTATTCCAAGAAATGTTAGCATCCAAAGCCTGTATCTTAATTAATACTCTACAATCCCAAGATACTTCATAAAATATACTTTAGGGACACAAACGGTCATAGTAGTAAGATAAATTAATTTATATCTACCCAATTAGCTTTATCAGAAGGAACAATACTGTTTACTTACGAAACAAATTTTCCTACTTCCACTTGTAATATTGGTTCACATAATTGCACTTCCAAGAGCATATCTTCAGCTTGCACAGCATCTCCAGGTTTTATAGGGTGGGGATTATAGATTCTAAGAAATCCCATATAACTGCCTACAATAATTTTATCTGAAATAAAAACATATTTATGAAGAACAATAAAACTTAAACAAATATCCATATTCAATTCCTTCTTCAATGTTCTAAGTAAACATGTCATAGGTTCAAACTGTGCTTGTTTTATTTAAAATAAGAATCATTTACAATACATCTCTTCTCTATAATCTAAAGTATGCACAAATCTAGGTCCCCTAATATTTTATCCTCACCAAAGCCAACCTATGAGTTAAGCTAGACTAAGAAATTATAACTGGGTTAAAAGTTCCAAGTGAGGTTCATGATTCAGAGATTTTATCCAGTCCCAGCCCAATACTAGCTATTTTCTTATAATTTAATTCTTTTAAGTTTAATAAGATGCATCTTACAATAAATAAAAAAATTACAATTTCACATTGGATTGGAAGAACAGAATTTCAACATTTTAATCACACATTAAATGTAAAAATATCCACTTACCTTGTGCACTATTGCTATTGTCAACATTTGCAACACATAAACATCCTTGATCAAATTCTTCTTTATTGCCCACTATTGTAGACCACCATTCCCGGGCTTTAAATAAAGACATTCTCTGTCAGACCTAGTGGGGGGAAAACAACTAGCATAAAAGCCTTATTATGAACTATTTTAAAAAATAATTCAGATCTCATCTAACATCTCAATTTAACAGAGAAAATATGAATATATTCTCCTTCAAAACATCACAATAAATACTTCTGATGGGAACCAAGTTCATCATTCACAATGCTTATATAATCCAAGTATTAGCTGACATTTTAGTTGGCATCCCACAAATCAAAATCAAAATGTAAATTACACAGATAGGATTGCAGAGTTAGAAATAAAGATTGCAGTCCAGCAGAGTTTCAGTTATATACTCTATCTCAACCATTAAACAAACTCAGGAAAATTTAAAGTAGTTTATGAGTTGGAAGGTATAAATATCTATTCTAGCATATAAATAAATCCTTGAACTCCATGGAATTTTTTCTGGATCAGAACCACAGAGATTATGTTATGTTCAAAGAAAAGAGTTGTGTATATTGTACCAAGCTTTAACACAGACCATAAAAAACATCAGTTAGAGATTTCATTTTGCATTCTCTTTTACTAAATAAATACCCTCACGATAATATGGTACAAGAGATGAACATTATGCTGGCAGCTTATTAACACAGTTACATAATTAAAGCATGATGCATCCTTTCACCTACAAAGGACTGAAATAACAAGCTTATCTAATTATTGCAAATTCTCCACAAGCCTGATTTGTTATTTTGCAATATTAGAATCCCAAATGGAAATCTATTTATCCAATGAACTGTCTTGCTCCTTTTCATTTTGCATTCCTCTAGAAAATTGTTTGCAAGATGTTGTTTGGAGCAACAATTTAACATGATATGAAGTTATTTTCTAACTATTTAAAATGGGTTATTTGGACACCATCTTCTATATTTTTTCTCTCTTTCTGATACTAACAGTAGGGCTGTTCATACAGTGAAAGACCAGTGCACTTGTACATAGAAGTATCCAATGCCTTGGAGAAGCCCAAAGATTTGCAAAAAGGTATAAGACACACAAAAAATCCTAATGACCACAGAATACATGTTGCCTTGTGAATATGAGAAAAGGAAAAGTAAGAATAGAATAGAGAATGGCTGACAGACCAGAACAAAAATATTTTATCAACCATTCCATTTATAATATGAAAATAATTATTCGATGCAATAATTATTCCTATCCAATTCCTATCAATGGCAACAAAAGTTTCCCTTTAATTTTTGTATTATTTATGTAGCTGTCCATTTTGCTAGTTGCAACTTTAAGTGGCAAACAAAAGATTAAAAACCAGCAAAACAAAAATGGGATTTAACAGGAATGCAGTTATATCCTGATCATTTAATTCCCTACCATAATTGGCTTCAGGTTGTCCTTGTGACAGTAGCTAAGGAACTCAATTTGGCAGAATATAAATAGCCTGTACTAATGCCTACTTAAAGCTATCTGGTACAGTATAGTGTGTGGTGAAGAAGAAAATAAGTAATCCTTAGCTTGGCAATATCGAGTATATTAATGCAATTTTTTAAGCATACATAAACAAATAATATTACCTGCTATCTCAAAAATTTTTAATCAATTACAAAATTTATGACAAAATTGTGCAAATGTTGCCACTTTCCACAAATAGTATAAAAGTTCTTTTAAGAGTATGCCTGTACTATTACTGTTCACTTATAAATTTAAAAACAAAACACATTCTTTACAATACTCAGTACTATGGAGTTAGAATAGCACTAACAAAAGACTATCCCAAGAATATCGTGTTGATCCAGAAAACATTTATGAATGCATAAATGAACCCATGGAAAAAAGGATGTTTACATCACACTATATCCATGCAATCCAAATTTAAATATATTTCAAAGTAAGCATGCAAGTTTGTTATTGCTCGGGTGAAAATTTGTAGACTATTATGCCATTGCAAACAATAACTCTTTCCATTGAGCTACATTATGCCTATTTTATTGACTTACCCGACTTGTTCGGTAACTGATGAATCTTCCTTTTTTTCCCTCACCTATGCTTCCTTACAAAAATTTACAGTTACAGAGAAGGAGCATTCCAAGAGCTGAAGCAGCCCATGCGTGTTACCAGAGAACTGAGCACTAGAGAGTTCCTTCTCGTAGACTTTATGTCTTCTTGCTCTGTCAGAACGGTAATCTTTTAAGTGCAGCCCTTTTATGCCAGCATTACATGAGAAACCCATGAGAAATTAAGTAAGCAGAAAAGGCCATGGAGAACATAAAATCATATCTACTAAACAGAAAGGTAGATGAACCTAATTACGCGTCAATGAGATGAAAAGCCACAGACACTAACGAAGCCACTCCACCCGCCGCCATTTTTGCTGCCGTTGTCATAGTACCTCGACAAACCAACGTCTGCTCTGACCCCTCCCATTCTCAAGGAAATCCTCTTGGGCGGGAAGGCTGTAACCCCCGTTGAAGTTTGCTGCCGGTGGGAGGAGTAGTCTAGGCGGAAGAGTGCATGCTGGAAAATGTAGTCTTACCCCAAAAAGGGTAAGTAAGTGATGGACTAGCGGTAGATTGGATTGTACTACTAGGCATACAAAGAGAGAAATATCTATGAAATGTGGAAGTATTCCTTCCCCGGCATCTTATTTTTAGGTTCAATTTTATAATATAAAGAGAGAAACGGAAGGCTTGTTCTGAATTAAAGTAACTAGAAAGACAAAAGAGAAACTACTGCACCCCGTTGTGAAGTAAGATAGTTTCGTCCACTGGCTCGGTCGGGCCGTTGCTAATAGTCTTACTAGTCGCTTGCTCAGATCAAGTATCAAGAACGTTTTTTAGGGTCAATCGCCGTTTCTCTTATAGACTAGACACACTTCCTGGTAAGAAAAGGAGTGGAGCCTCTGAGGCAGAAGGAGGCGGATTCACTTAACTTTCCCATTTAACGGCGCTTTGACGAAGGGACAGGGATACCACGACGATCCAGGGCGGCAGGCGGCGGCGTGCAGGGCCTCAGAAAGCTACTTTGTGGCTTGCCGGCAGTTCAGATTCTGAGACCAAGCCAAAATTTCTGTTCGGTTCCGCTCCAAAGCTGGTGTGTAAGTGTGCCACGATGGACAAGAGCGCCGTAGCCAAAATGGGAGCAGTGGCCAGCGCCAGTGTGTGCGCCCTGGTCGGGGGAGTAGTCCTGGCCCAATACATCTTCACTGTAAAGAAGAAAACGGGCAGGAAAACGAAGATTATAGAGATGGTAAGAACGCTTTAGGATTCTAAATGTTCAGTTTTGTGCCTTCCCTCCGGATGTCATAAAGACTTGCAGCCGAGCAAGCGTGCAACTAGTGAAAATGAATGCTAACGAATAGAATTGGGGTAGGAGTATAAAATACTTAGGATTTGGCTATAGTCCTCTGAAAACGAATAAAGTTGAGTTAATAATTCTTTGTTTACCAATTGGAAATGATGCGGAAGGAAGTTGATAAGCCAGACAGACGTAGCTGACTCAAGTTGATATAATTTAAGTGTATACATAGAATATATCCGTGGGGGCGAACCTATGGCACGCGTGCCACAAGTGGCATGCAGAGCCCTCTCTGTGGGCACGAGTGCCGTCGCCCCAGTCCTAGGCTTTCAGCTGGGTTTTATAAAACCTTTCCGCTTTAGGCCTCCACCGCCATGTGCCCCCCAAAAAAGGGTTCAATCAATCAATTTCAACTTCTTGCAGGAAAAAAAAGATCTCGCAAAGTTCGAATTGATTGATTGAACTTTTTAGTCCCACCCAGTCTGCCGTTACCAGCGCAGCCATGCCCACCCAATGGGCCACAACCACCCAGCACCTGAAGATATTAAGTGGGTTTTGCATTGCAGTTTGGGCACTCGGCCTCTAAAAGGTTTGCCATCACTGGAATATATAGTTTGCAATCCAATGACATAGGGTATACACATAAGGCTTTGTTTGCACTTTTAATATTCATTCCCAGATTATTCAATAAGCAAGTTGGTTGACAGCCTGGAATTGTATTCATGAGACCTGCACTTATATGACCATTATCACTTTTAATCAATGAAGAATTATGTTAGTTCACTTGAGATTTTTATCTGAAGATATTTTGAGTAAGAAGTTATCAGATTGCTTTAGTCAATTACTGATAGACATCTGTCGCAAATTGCCAAAAGACACATACTTTTATCACTTAATACACTATTAACTTAATTTACATTTTTTCATTGCAGAGAGGAAAGTTAAAACTGCTGAATTACACTAAATATCAAGTTAGGCAATATCTATGGGATACTCACAAGCAGATATACTTGCAAAATAATTATTTTGTATTCTTTAATATAAGCGGGGATTCATTTATCATCTGAAAGTAGTCAGATACATATTACACTGAAATTCCAAAATTGACCATATGTGATTCCTTGAAAGCTAAGAATGAAACTAATAGGAAAGGCTGGGAAGCATGAAAGTATTTATATATACAATTCAGTGGTGGCTGGGTTTGTACATCATACTGAACTATAAACTAGTCAGTTATAGTTCAGTGTTATGCAACTGTAGCCAATGTGTCTAGTATGTCATGAGAATCAAAAAATTGTATTCTAATATGGTTAAGATAATAATGGTGTGTTTATGATGAGATTTTTTGTTGTTGTTAGTTGCGAAGTCATGTCCAATCCATCGCGACCCCATGGACAATGTTCCTCCAGGTCTTCCTGTCCTCTACCATCTTATGATGAGATAGTAAAGTGCTAAATTGTATTTTAGATTAATAGTATAGGGCTCAAAAGTGGCCAGTCAAAATTTGAGCAATTTTTTATGCACATAATTCTACTCGTAGTTCAATGAATGCATCCTTAACAGAATGTAATTAATTTTAATTAATTCTTAATACCCAGCCATATGGATATTAATTCATCAACCATATACCAGTCCCAAGCCCAGATAAATGGGGAGGATTAGGGAAAACAATGGTAAACCAACCTGTAAAAAAAACCTCACCAGAATATTTTATGGCGATAATTCAAGATGACTCATATGAATACCAACAACGGACCCTCCCCAGGCTGAATGGTAGCCTGCAAGGTCCTGGAGAGGAACAAGGACTAGCTTTTAGTAGTCAGGGTTGTTATGATGTTGGAGGAAAGCCTTCGGGAAGCCCAACAACTGACAGTGCCCATGACAAAAGAAGCCAAAGTTATATCAAATTGGAATATGGAATCTTAGAGGCATGTTCCTGGGAAATGCAAAATTGTAAAAAGAGAAATTATTAGAGCAAGCATAGATATCCTTGGCATCTGTGAGTTACACTAGACATACAGTGGTCAATTCAAATCAGACAAATTTATGATTTATTTTTCTGAAAATGATATCAAACAAAAATGAATTGCATTTTGTGTAATGAAACAAGGGGCTAAAGGGATTGAGAATCACAAGGCATATAGTGATTGCATAATATTTATCCAAATTTGAGGCAAGCCACTCAACATCACCATATTACAAATCTATGCTCCAACTATAGACTCAAATGATCGTGAAATTAAACTTTTTTTGCAGTGAACTTCATATGCTCTCAAGCAAATACCAAAAAAGGATTTTTTGTATGCTATGGGTGATTTCGATGCAAATGTAGGCAAGGAGAAGTTGCAAGAATAGTAGACAAGTTTGGACTAAGTGAATGGAATGAAGTTGGCAATCACCTAGTAGTGCAATTTTGCTAGGAAAATCATCTCAGCATAATGAACACATTTATTCAACACAAGCAACATTTATACATGTGGACAGCACCAAATGGACAATATCAAAATCAAATAGATTTCATTTTATGCCAACAATATTTGAAAGGTTCACTTGCATGTCTTAAAACACTTCCTGGCACTGATTGTAGCTCAGATCCTCAGCTATTAGTGTTAGCCACTAATAGCTCGAGCTATGCAAAGTGAAAAAAAGTGCTATGCCCTAAAAATTCAATGTGGATAGCATCTCACCTATGTACGCCATAGATTAAGAATAGGTTTGAAAGGAAACATCAAGATGAACAGTGATGAGGGATCCAAGGTAACATCATGGAAATTTTTGGAAAGTATGTGTCATGCCCCAAACCAAAAAGAACAAACAAGTAACTATCTGATGACACCATCAAAATAGCTGATCAGCATAGGGTAGCCAGAGCCAAAGGTAATGAGGATGAGGCTAAAAGACTGAATACAATTTTCCAATGAGAAGCCAGGAAAGATAGAAATAGGCAGCGGGAGAAGCAGTGGCATCATCTGGAAGAACCTAACAGGAAGGGACGTACTAAGTCCATGTTTGCTGTAGTAAAAATGATTTAGTCTAGCTTTTTAGCATGAAAAAGAATGGTTAAAGACTGCAACGGGAATGTACTAAGTGACCAGCAGAAGATCAAGAATAGATGGAAAGAATAGTCAGAAATAGTCAAAAATAGTCAGAAATACCTTATAGCAGTTTGACTTACCATCAATATGACAGTGATGACAGCCCAATTAATAAAGAACCAAATATCTTGAAAGAAGAAGTAAAATGTGCCATGGAGAAATTATTGAACTGGGAAGCCCCAAGTATTGATGGAATACCTGCAACGTTACTAAAGCCAGTGCCAATTAACATCATCATTGCCTATATCTAGAGATATGGATTACATATCAGTGGCTTCAGGACCAAAAAAGATCTGTTTTGATGCATTAGTAAAATAAGGCAATGCTAGAGACTGTTCCAACTATCGCACAATTGCATTAATTCTGTTAACGATCATTTCAACAGAGACTACAGAGTGTTATTGATCAAGAATTACTTGATGTACATGCTGCCTTTAAAAAGGGGCACAGGACTCAAGATCACATTGTCAATATTAAATGGATTATGGAAAAGGCACGCAGGGAGACGGAACCGCCTAGATGGTTCCGTCCCAGGCGCCTGATGGACCCGGAGAGGTTTCTGACGGAGCTTGGGCCATATCCGGAGGATCTAGGTCACGACTCGGCGGAAGATCAGGCTGCGGCCTGGGATGTGGCCGCAGCCGCAGCACTGGACCGAGTCGTGCCGTTGCGGCCTCTGACCCGACGTAGATCTC